TCTTAGGGCGCCAGCGCTTCATTTATTCATCTATTGCTCAGGATCTGCGTCTGCCTTTGTACAAAGGGTCACATGCCTTGCTGACAAGGCTTGTACAAAAGGTGGTCTGTAGGGGGGGCCCGGCAACCGTGCCTTACGGGTAAAACTTCAGAAGATCTTCGATGTTCCGGCAGTTGCTCACGGGGATACCATCTCTGGTCTCCAAGCATACTGTGCCGGGCCTGGTGACTCGTATTATCCGATAAGGGCCTTCCCACTTTGGCGTCAACTTGTTAGAATTCTTGGCCGACCGACCGCGCCGAAGAACAAGGTCGCCTTCCTCAAAGCTTCGGGCATGAACCTTGCGGCTATGGTAGCGGCGCAAGGCTTGCTGGTAGCGCGTAGCTCGCACAGCAGCCTGAAGAAGATCTTCCTCAAGGAGCGTAGCGTCATCTTGCCGCAACTGCTCTTGCTCAAGCTCATCATAAGCGAGTACTCGACGTGACCCGTATGCGAGTTCTATGGGGAGAACTACTTCTACCTCATATACAAGGGAGAAGGGCATCTGGCCGGTGGCTCGATTTGGTATTGTTGTGATTGACCAAAGAACCGCCGGCAACACGTCAATCTAGCGTCTTCTGCACTTGTGCGGCCTGTCAAAAGTCCTCGTCCTGAGGTCTCGCAACACTTCAGCATTTTCCCTTTCCGCCTGGCCATTGCTTTGTGGATGTACAACAGAAGCAAAACATATCTTGCTGCCGAGGTCGTGGACGTATTGCATTAAGGTGCGGCTTGTGAACTGCGTGCCGTTGTCAGTGATGACTCTGTTTGGCACACCAAAACGGCAAACTAGTCCTTTGAAGAACATCATGGCTGATTGTGTTGTTACCTTTCTCACTGCTTCCAGTTCTGGCCACTTTGTGAACTTGTTGATCGCAATGTACAAGTACTCAAAGCCCCCAACAACATGGGGAAAAGGGCCCAGTATGTCGAGCCCCCAGATCGAGAATGGCCAGGAAAGAGCGATTGTCTGGAGAGCTTGAGCTGGTTGATGGAGTTTCATCGAATGGAGCTGGCACGCTTCACACTTGTTTACTAGTGCAGTCGCATTCTGGAGAGCGGTGGGCCAAAAGAAACCTTGTCGGAATGCATTTCCGGCAAGGGCTCTTGATCCTATGTGAGATCCACATATGCCTCCATGTATCTCTGCCAACAGCTCCAGTCCATCCTCCTAGGGAATGTAGTTCAATTTCACACTGTTCGGTCTTTTCCTATAAAAGGCGTCGTCTAGAAACTAGTACATGGTAGACCGACGGGCTACTTTCTCCGCTTCTACTTGTTCCTCAGGGAGTTCCCCTGTTTGGAGGAACTGAATGGTGTGTCGCGGCCATGCCAGAACTTGAGGCTCGACGGTAAGGACTAGAGGCATATCCTCTGCCGTGGGAGTGGTTGTCTCAACGGGAAGGGCTTGAGGCCCTGCCGGAGCCTGTCGCTCCCCGGCAAGCTTGGCGTGCCTGGCAACATCCTTGCCGACGGCTCCTGGGAGCCCGGCGGGAAAGTACTTACCGAGGCCTAATTTTTTTCTCTTATTCTATCCTGCCGATGGTTCAACGGATGTCTGAGTCAATTGGAGCACAAAGGTCGCTGGATCCACAGGTAACTTGAGGGCAACACGTTTTGACAGGTCATCAGCAACACTATTCTCAACTTGAGGAACATGCTCTGCTTGTAGACCATCAAAACGCTCGTCCAACTTCCTCACTCCATCTACATAAGCTTCCATCAGCGGGCTCTGATAATCCTTGTTCACTTGCTTCACTATGAGTTGCGAATCCCCATTGATGATCAACTTTTTGATCCCATGGTCTACCACGATCCTGAGGCCGGCAAGCAGCCCCTCATACTCCACGGTGTTGGTCATCAATCTCTCCCGAGGAAAGTGCATTTGGACTACCTACTTGAGGATCTATCCTGTGGGCGCGACAAGCAGCACGCCGGCACTGGCGCCGTGCAGCAAGAAACCCCATTAAAGTACATAATCCAGTTGTGGCTTGTTTCCTTGCCGGGGAGAGTGGTCTCTTGAAATTCTTCATTAGGCGTTGAGGTCCATTCTGCAATGAACTCCTCCAAAACCCTACTCTGGATTGTCAAAGTGCTTTCAAACCTGAGACGAAAGCTTGATAGTTCCAACTCCCATTCCACAATCCTTCCGGATGCATCTGGATTGTCCAAGATCCGTTGCAATGGGAAGCGAGTGATGACCGTGATCTCATGTGCTTATAAATAATGACGCAATTTCCTCAAGGCCATAAGGAGGACGAAGATCAACTTCTGCACACTAGAGTACCTAGATCTAGCCCCCTGCAAGAGGGATCTGACAAAGTAGACTGGGTGCTACATCATCTTCTTCCTTTGTGGCACCAGACTCTGCCGGGGGTCTGGCCTTGGCGGCACCAGACTCTGCCGGGGTCTGGCCTTGGCGGCACCAGACCCTATCGGGGGACCTCTGGCTCGTCATCCAACAGCCTTGCCACCGCTACCGCCTCTTCGCCCGCTTCCCTCTACGCCACTAGTGCAACACTAACCACTTGATTCGTTGCCTCTAGATATAGAAGCAACAACTCTTACGCTTTAGGCGCAACTAGTATTGGCATAGACGAGAGGTACCTCTCCACATCCTGCAGCACTGCCTCGACCTCCGGGGTCCATTTCGTCACCCCTGCCTTTTTCAAAGTCTTGAGAAAGGGGAGGGTGTGCTCACCAGATTTGGAGATGAACCTAATTAGAGTAGTAACGCAGCCAGCAAGCCGATGCACATCTTTAAGTCGCCTCGGTGTCTCAATCTGCTCAATTGCCTTGATCTTGTTGGGGTCCGCCTCAATCCCTTGTTGAGACACAAAGAACCCGAGAAGCTTGCCAGATGGGACACCGAACACACACTTCTTAGGGTTGATCTTGAGGTTGATCTTGCACAAATTTGCAAATGTTTCTTCCAAGTCATGTACAAGTGTCGCCCTGTCCTTGGTTTTAACCACTATGTCATCCATGTAAGCCTACATATTTCTATGGAGCTGGGGCTCAAAACCAATCTAAACTGTTCTTGCAAATGTCGAACCAGCACTTTTCAACCCGAAAGGCATTCGTATAAAACAATACGTACCACACGAGGTGATGAAGGCGGTCTTCTCTTTATCTTCCTTCGTCATAAAGATTTGGTGGTATCCCGAATAGGCATCAAGGAATGACAAACAGGTCGCACCCGGCAGTGGAGTCCATGATCTGGTCAATGCGCGGCAAAGGGATAGGATCTTTTGGGCAGGCTTTATTGTTATCTGTATAATCAATGCACAGCCTCCACTTTCCATTCACCTTGCGCACCACCACCGGATTGGCCACCCATATTGGGTGGAGCACTCCTCTGACCAAGCCTGCAGCTTCCAACTTCCTAATCTCCTCAATGATGAATTCTTGCCGCTCCAAAGCTTGCTTCCCAACCTTCTGCTTGATGGGTCGTGCATGAAGACGGACATCAAGGTGGTGCTCAATCACCTCCCTGGGAACACCGGGGATGTCAGATGCTTTCCATGCAAACACATCGACATTCGCCTGCAGGAAGGCAACAGGCGCTTTCCAATTTCCTATCGAGGGTGGAGCTTATAGTAAAATCTCCGCCCGTGTCGTCGTCCTTGATGGGCACCTTCTTGGTTTTCGGTGGTGCAGCCTTGGCTTTCTTGCTCTTGCCGGTGGAGCTTCGTGGCATGTCCTCAATGGAAACGCACAACCCCGAGGAGGCGCACTTGCCGGAGTGGGTGCAAGAGGCTTGGCCGGGGCCAGAAGTCTTGCCGGTGACTGAGGTCTTGCCGGTCCTCTTCCCCTTGGGGGCTCCAGTGGTAGGAGCAAGTGCCTTGGCAGCAATTGCCACCACCGCCTCCTGGTAGAGCTCGTCGGCATAGATGAGCGCATCCTTCTTGTCGGAGCCGACAGTGATGATGCTCATCGGGTTGGGCATCTTCAATGTGTTGTAGGCGTAATGTGATGCTGCCATAAATATGGGAGAGAATTCCTTATTTGGCCCTTTCTTAAATTTTGGTTCCCTTTCTGGCCCTAGTAAAAAAATTCTTCCTGTTCTGGCACTCAAACTTCAGTTTGTTCCCTCTATGATATTTCTGTCAGTTTTGGCAACTAACACCGTTAAATCTGACATGAAAAGTCCTTTTTACCCTTGGTGTAGTTTCTGACCAAAATTGTGAACTAGAAGTCAAAAGCAATGGTGATGTGATCTGTTTGTCTTGAATACATTACCAAATGAAACCTAATCTGCTATTTAGCACATCTTTAATTTTAATTGGATAATTGGACAACACCTCCCTTGTATTTTGATGATATATCCCCTGTAAAGTTCATATATGCACAAATTATAATATACTTGGAGCAGATTCACATGTATGCAAATTAAAAGTTCATAGAAACTTGGTCTAGGTTCACATATACGGAAACAGTCCACATATTTAGTCCTCTACACACATTCAGGTTCACATAGAGTTCACATATAATAGTCTAGGTTCACATCATGTCAAATACAACACATGAAGGTCACATATAGCACGTACAAAAGCCCAGGTTCACATATATATTACATAAACAGCTCAAAAGTTTCCCAAATGAACCATGATATGGAAAGGGATCCAATGAGAATCACAAGCTAAGCCTCCTTTTGCTTCGTGTGCTCATTGCAGGGCTGGCAGGATTCATTTTTTGCAATGTGTGCCCATTGCAGGGCTATCATGTGGCACCATAGGAAGGTGTGGCAACTTATCATCAACCTCTTTGCCTTTTATTTTGGCATGTAATTTCAAAGCAATAGATGCTTTCTTGTTGGCCACTTAAATGGGTTGAGTTCTTGATCTACACATACACATTCATGGCACCACATCATACATCTCATATAGTAGCCCAGGTTAACAATAGAACAATGCATAACATAACATAAAATTCGGAAACAACCATAGGTTACCTTTTTGCTACTCTAGATCCAGATTTAGTCCCTTTCCCTTAGTTGTTTTCTCCAACATTTGGCTATAGTGAGAAGAATGCAATTAGAATACAAAACCAAGCTTTCATCTAATCTACTACAAAATTCAAAACTAGTTCTTACCTTTTTGATGCTCCAGTAATTGAGTTATCATGTTTTCTCTTTTTCGTAGTTGTAGGTTCCAAGCTTTGGCTATTGTGAGAAGTTACTAAGAATTCAAACACAGATTTCATATAATTATGAGCATGAGTGTAAAGTGGCTAACCTTGGCAGAAAGCACATAGAGGATGCTGGAGCATCATCCTCGTAAGGCACAATTGATGCTTTGGTGGTCTTTTCCCTCTTCTTTGGTGGTCCTCTACATGAGCAACAAATAAAATAGTTAACATCTATGGCTGCTTACAAAAAAATGCAAGTGAGGCAAGTTACACAGTTAAATTTAGTACGTCACAGCTAAAATAGTAGCAATGTCAGCTGGGTTACCCTTCTTGCATTTATGCCAATGATGCCCATAGTCCTTACAAATAGGGCATAAGTGTTGGCCGCTTTTTCTTTTCTTCTCACTGCAGCCTTTATACCTCTTAGTTTTATGCCTACCCGCCATGGATTTTAGTAGTGGTGGAAACATGAAGAATCCATGGTCAGATTTAGGCCATTGGTTCTTGTCAACCATGGCAGGAATTAGTTGGTCATAGGCTGCCCTAAATTTGTCAATGGAGTAATACAAGTCCACATAATTCTGTATGTGTGCATTCATAAGAGATGTGATAAATGCTAGACCATGCTTGCAAGGAAGGCCAGAAACTTGCCATTGTCTATAAGAACATGTCCTATCAAGCAAGTTGACCACAAACCTAAAGCCGCTGCCTCCTAATGTTGTCACTTCAGCGACTTCTTCTGAGCTTTCTACCACCTCCAAGTTTAATTCTCTACATTCAACTTCTTAATTATGTGGGGAAGAATCAACCCAACCAACTTCCTTGCTACTTTCCTCCTTTGGTTCAACATGATCATAATCATTTTCCTAACCTTATCAAAGAAGTCATCCAAGTTCAAGGACTTGTGATGCTTAATCCAATTATTGAAGCACTCAGCCAAGTTGTTTGTAACATAATCCACCTTGGAAATTGTGGAGAACTGACTCCTAGACCACAACCTAGTGTGCCACCTCCTAAGATATGCAGTTGCCACTGGCTTTGCTATGTCCATTGCAGCCCAATTTTTTGAAATATATAGGGATTCCATGAATAAGCAGCAGCCCAAACGTGGTGATCAAACACCTTCCCATGAAACTTCTTCTTGAAGTTGGACATCAAGTGAAACATACATTCCCTATGTTCAGCCTCTGGGAACACTTCTTTTACACCTGTCATCATTCGTTGCCCAGCATCGGTGCATATGGTTAAACCCCTTGGGGATCCAATGGCTTGTCGAACCATTTGCATGAACCAGGTCCAATTCTCATTAGTTTCAGAATCGAAAACACCCATACAAACTGGATACATCCAACAATGGCCATCAACGGCGGTAGCACTAGCCAGTTGCGCCTTGAACCTGCCTGTCAAGAAGGTGCTATCTACTGCCAAGTATGGCCTGCGTCCATTAAGGAACCCATCGATGCAAGGCTTCAAAGGAATAAAAATTCTTTTATATCTGATTTTATCTTTTATTGTGTGATGATCAATGATCATTATGCTACCGGGGCAGCAACTTTCAATTTGCGCCTTGAAACTATACAAATTATCAAAGCTTGTATCCCAATCACCATATAGTTCCTTCAAGCCTAATAGCTTACCCATATAGACTCTCTTAGAGTTGATGTTGATTCCATGATGCTCTTTAAGCTTCTTTCGCAATGCCTTTGGTCCTGGAGTTGCATCCTCAATTATCTAGTCCTTCACGTGCTCACATATCCACCGCTTGTTTGCATTCTTCAACTTATTTTTTCTTTTTGTACTAGAGCAATCATGACCACAAGGGTTCTTTCTCACCTACAAAAGATGAACATAGAAAATTAGTACTAGAGTAAAGACCATGACCACAAATTAAGCACACATGAGTAAAGTTAGAAAATTACCATTACTGTGCACTCATCTTCCATTGTAGAAGCATATATCCTCCATGGACAATTATCTTCATCCCTTCTTGAACAATAAGCTCTGAACCTATGTGGTGCACTCTTTTCGGTGTCAAACTCAAATTCATGTTTGATTGTATGTTGAGAAAGCGCCAATTTAAACTCTGCCATATTGGGATATTTTCTTCCTTCGCTCATTGGAGGATCTAATTTATTATATTCATTGGAGGATCTGCCTCGTGATATTCCTCATCTTCCTCTACTTCAACCTCTAACATGCTCTCATCCTCATTCTCATCCTCGCTTTCAACCTCGCTCTCAGCCACGATCTCATGATCAGGAACATAGTCTTTGTCCTTTTCTTTGTTGGAACAAGGAACCATGATAAGAGGTATAGGTTCATCCTCTAAATAAATATTTTCCTCATCAACACCAACATGCTCACTCTCAGGTATTGGGTTGTGAAGATAATCATCATCATCTTGTTCTATGTTGTTAGGTTGGCTATGGCATCACTATGCCACTCCGTTATAAGCTCATATGGTTCCAATGGATCACAATATGCAACAAACATGTGCACAACCTTTGTCTTAGAGTTTTTCTCAAACATCGACACCAATTCTTGGTCAGATGTTACTTCAGGGTAGATTTTAAGAACATCATCATAGTACTAAACATGTGCAACTTCCAAATAACGAGCCGAGTAGTGCACTACGATTGAATCAACCAAGTCCTTATAATTTGTTAAGTCGGAATAAATAACCTTATCAAAACAAAAGCATTTGATATCCTTTCTAGCCTTTTTTGGGTTGGCAAGAAAATTGATTTTCAGCACATAAGTTGAATTTTGATCCATCCTGTAAACACCAAATAAACTTAATCATGAGTTGAATTTGGGATCCATCGCTAAGTTCATATTTTGCACCAAATTATCATCTCTAAATGAAACTCCTAAGTAATCTGTTGCATTTTGACAAATCTAGAAGAGAGGTGCAGCAAATATGTTGCATTTGGGATCCATCTCTAAGTAATCTTCAAAGCCATCTCTAAGTACTCTGTCAAATTTAAAGAAGAGATGACTCACCCATCTAGACAAGCCGATGTAGCCGCATCCCTTGGTGATACTTGGCCCCCTGCCTCCCCACCATGGCCGCCTTTCCCGTCCTCCAGGGGTTGGCCGCCCCCTGCCTCCCGACCATGGCCGC